CACCGGGGAAAGGATCCGGGGAGACGGGCGGCACCAGCCGGTGCCCGGCCCCGCCGCTGCAGCCCCAGCCCCAGCCCCGCCCGGTCCCGCTACCTTCCTGCTCATGCTCAGCCGCACGATGCGCTTCAGCTGCGGCTCGTCCTGCAGCAGGCCGCGGAGCTGCGCGGTGCTGAGCCCCGGGGAGCCGGGCTCGGCCGCCCGCGCGCCCCTGCCCCGGTACATGCCGCCCGCCGCCCCGAGCCGTCCACTGGGAGCGGGCTGCGACCGCACCGACCCGGCCCGCCAGGGGGCGCCGCGGGGGCTCTTAAAGGGGCCGCGCCCCTGTGGGCGGGCACTGCTGGGGCGAGCGCAGCAAGGAGTCCCTGTGCGCCGGGACCGGGGGCTTGCTCCCCTGTGCTGCCTGGGTAGCAGGAGCCATCGCCCCCTTCATACATGGAGCAGCCCTGGGGCTTCAGGGGCAGCTCAGCCCAGCTGCTGGGAGGCCACGGGACTGTGCGCCGGTGATCGGGTGACCGTGCAGCAGGGCCCAAGACTCCTGGGCGCTATGGCTGGCTGGGCAGGTCGGCATGCACCTGCCTTCCCCTCTGCCTTGCGGTGAGGGTAGTGCCTGAAGCTGTCCCCCTGGAAGGGCTCCCCCTGTCTCCGGTTTCTAGCTCTGTGACACTAAAGGGACATGTTTAAGGTTGCAGAGTGGAGAACTCAAAAGTCAGGAAATGCCAGAATTACAGCTTAGAGCCCCTGCACTGAGTGAGACAGGAGCCTGTGGAAACTAAGATGGGGTGCTGTCATCAAGGACTGGGTTGTAATGCACAACAGGGCAGAGTCAAGGTTGCCCAAGCAGCCATAAACCTGACCTTTCCTAAGGTTTGACTGCTTGACTCTGCAACTGGAACATTCTTTTCACGTAGGGGGTTTGTGTGCAATTTCTTGGGGATTCTGAAAAAAGAGAGAAATATATTCTGTTATGTGCAATTAGGTGTCATCAGCATATCATGTGTCACCAGTAGGGCTCCAGCCCAGAGCCTTCAGCAATGACTTACACCACTTGAGCAGAAGGCTGTTATCCCTGGGGGAGGAGAGTGGGGACGGGCTGCGCCCCTGTGGGCGGGCACTGCTGTGTAAAGGAGGTAGCTCCAGCTTTCTGTCCCATCCCCCCAGGAGATGATGCTCTATGTGGACCCCAGGAGAGGAGGATGGGATACTAGGGCCATGTGCAGGGCCCAATGGGTGCAGATCCAGGGCCAGCTATTACTCCAGCACCTCCCAGTGCAGCCTCTGCTGCTGTGGTGGCAGGACCCAGTTGTTGAGAACGTTCTTATTCAGTCATTTGTTTGGCAGGATACCAACATTTTCTGGAGAAACACAATCCAGAGCAGGGAAATGGACAGGGACAAAGAAAAGGCACTCTCCTGCCCCCAGGGCTTTCTCCCTGAGGAATTTCAGAGGCCAGCTGCAAACAATGGAAGTGCTGGAGCTTCTCAAAAAAGGCTCACCAGAGTTTTTTATAATGGACAATGATAGGCAGGCTAAATATAGGGGCCTCTACCAGCTCCCCTGCAATTATTCCTGGTATTCTGGAGATGGCACTTAGCATACTGGGAGCTGTCCTCACTGCAGGCTTCCCTGTCACACTAACACTGGGGTGTGGAGGGGGAAAGATCTGCATTTGCTTTCCCCAGCTCCTGGCAAACTGCCAACTGAGCTCAGTTTGGCTGTTCCCTGTGATACCTTCCTGGCCCAGTGATCCCTGTTCCTGTGGGTATGCTGGGTGCTCCAACCAGCCCTGCAGATGGCATGGAGTCACTGCCAGGCTGTGAAAGGCTTCTGTTGAAACCAGTCTGACATTCCTGATGCCCATCTCCCTAGAGGAAGGGCCTGATCTGGACTTTCAGTGAGAGGATGCAGTGCTGCGGTATCATAGAATCATAGTATCATAGAATATCAGGGTTGGAGGGGACCTCAGGAGGTCATCTAGTCCAACCCCCTGCTCAAACAGGACCAATCCCCAACTAAATCATCCCAGCCAGGGCTTTGTCAAGCCGGGCCTTAAAAACCTCCAAGGAAGGAGATTCCACCACCTCCCTAGGTAACCCAATCCAGTGCTTCACCACCCTCCTAGAGAAATAGTTTTTTCCTAATATCCAACCTAAACCTCCTCCACTGCAACTTGAGACTGTTACTTTTTCTTCTGTTATCTGGTACCACTGAGAATAGTCTAGATCCATCCTCTTTGGAACCCCCTTTCAGGTAGTTGAAAGCAGCTATCAAATCCCCCCTCATTCTTCTCTTCTGCAGACTAAACAATCCCAGTTCCCTCAGCCTCTCCTCATAAATCATGTGCTCCAGACCCCTAATCATTTCTGTTGCCCTCCGCTGGACTCTTTCCAATTTTTCCACATCCTTCTTGTAGTGTGGGGCCCAAAACTGGACACAGTACTCCAGATGAGGCCTCACCAATGTTGAATAGAGGAGAATGATCACGTCCCTCGATCTGCTGGCAATGATCCTACTTATACAGCCCAAAATGCCGTTAGCCTTCTTGGCAACAAGGGCACACCGTTGACTCATATCCAGCTTCTCGTCCACTGTAACCCCTAGGTCCTTTTCTACAGAACTGCTGCGTAGCCACTCGATTCCCTAGTCTGTAGCAGTGCACTTGTCCTTGCTGAACCTCATCAGGTTTCTTTTTGCCCAATCCTCTAATTTGTCTAGGTCCCTCTGTATCCTATCCCTACCCTCCAGCATATCTACCGCTCCTCCCAGTTTAGTGTCATCTGCAAACTTGCTGAGGGTGCAATCACGCCATCCTCCAGATCATTAATGAAGATATAGAACAAAACCGGCCCCAGGACCGACCCTTGGGGCACTCCGTTTGATACCGTCAGCCAACTAGACATGGAGTCATTGATCACTACCCACTGAACCTGCTGATCTAGCCAGCTTTCTATCCACCTTATAGTCCATTCATCCAGCCCATACTTCTTTAACTTGTCGGCAAGAATACTGTGGGAGACCATATCAAAAGCTTTGCTAAAGTCAAGGAATAACATGTCCACTGCTTTCCACATCCACAGATCCAGTTATCTTGTCATAGAAGACAATTAGGTTAGTCAGGCATGACTTGCCCTTGGTGAATCCATGGTGACTGTTCCTGATCACTTTCCTCTCCTCTAAGTGCTTCAGAATTGATTCCTTGAGGACCTGCTCCATGATTTTTCCAGGGACTGAGATGAGGTTGACTGGCCTGTAGTTCCCCGGATCCTCCTTCTTCCCTTTTTTAAAGATGGACACTTCATTAGCCTTTTTCCAGTCATCTGGGACCTCCCCCGATCGCCATGAGTTTTCAAAAATAATGGCCAATGGCTCTGCAATCACATCTGTAGTCGTGGCGGTGCTGGGATGCTAGGCACAAGGTGGAGGAGGGAATATCTGTTACTGGACCAACTTCTGTTGGTGAGAGAGGCCTGAAGAAGGGTTCGGGGTGGCTCCAAAGCGTGTCTCTCTTACCAACTGGAGATGATCTATTACAGACATGGCCAAACTGCGGCTCGCAAGCTTTTACGATTAAAGTGCGACTCTTGGAGCCCCCCATGCCCTCCCCTTTCTCTGCCTACTAGACTGGGGAAGGGGCTCGGGACCTCTGCCTTGCAGCAGGGTGGTGGGGTAGGGCCTTCTGCCCTGCAGAGAGGGGGCTCGTGGGGACTCAGCCTCGCGGGGCACACCTGCAGGGGCTTGGGGCTTCAGCAGGAGTGGGGCTGAAGCCCCGTCAGGTGTGCCCCGGTTCTCAAACTTCTATTATCTCCCCCCCTTGTCTCTCTGTCCCAGGAACAGGGCAGGAAGGGTCAATCCAGGTCCCCGGGGTGGGGGCGTTCAGAGGGGAGGCAGGAGGAGCAGGCTCCCTGTTCGCTAAAGGAATCTGAGGTGCCAGCTGGGAGAGTGACCCATCCAAGCTATTGCGCTGCTCGCTGGGATGAATGCAAGCTGCTGGGGATAGAAGTGAAACACCTTGTGCTGCCTGGGTGCAGAATGTGTCCCCCCCCCCCGCCCAGTAGCACATTCCCCAGGCCTCCCGAGGACCCTCCCTGTGCCAGTCACTTGGGAGCCAGGAGGAAGAGCTGGAATTATGCTTTGCTCCTGGCAAACTGTATCCTTTCCTGTGTGCTCAAACGCAACTCACACCAGCTCAGCTGTTCACATGGGGCCACTTACTGGTTGGATGCATCGATTTCGATTGTCTTACATCTGCAGGGTCAGGGCTGTGGGTCAGCTGCGGGGGGAGAATAGCACATCACACTGAGGAGAAGGCAGTGGAAAGGCTGATGAGAAGATAGAGTTGTGTCTATGTTCAGGTGACTGCCCGTGTGGGGGGAGGCTGTGTGAGAGAGGGCAGTGTGTAGCCACATAGCAGGGAGATGAGGCATCTGTTTCCACCCAGATTGCTGTCTGAGTTTTAATGAAAACACATATCAGAGGCATTAGGCTCTGCAGCTCTCAGCCCGTGTGCGGTTACGTTCATTCCCCATACCCAGCAATGCAACCAAGGAACAGGGAGCAAAGGCATCTGGCCTAGTCAACGAGGTCTGCTACCTGTGTAGTGAGCACAGTGCCCCATGCCAGAGCAGGCCCCATGCCAGGGCAGGCAGGTTCCATGCCCTGCCTATTGTCAGGGTGATAGCAATCATAGAATCATAGGGCGGGAAGGGACCTCAAGAGGTCATCTAGCCCAGTCCTCTGCACTCAAGGCAGGACTAAGTATTATCTCTAGACCATCCCTGACAAGTGTTTGTCCAGCCTGCTCCTTAAAATTCCCCAATAATGGAGATTCCACAACCTCTCTGGGCAATTTATTCCAGTGCTTAACCACTCTGAGAGTTAGGAAGTTTTTCCTAGTGTCCAATCTAAACCGCCCTTGCTGCAATTTAAGCCCATTGCTTCTTGTCCTATCCTCAGAGGTTAAGAAGAACAATTTTTCCCCTTCCTCCTTGTAACAACCTTTTATGTACTTGAAAACTGTTATCATGTCCCCCCTCAGTCTTCTCTTCTTCAGACTAAACAAACCCAGTTTTTTCAATCTTCCCTCATAAGTCATATTTTCTAGACCTTTATTCATTTTTGTTGCTCTTCTCTGGACTTTCTCCAATTTGTCCACATCTTTCCTGAAATGTGGCACCCAGAACTGGACACAATACTCCAGTTGAGGCCTAATCAGCGTGGAGTAGAGCGGAGGGCAACAAAAATGATTAGGGGTCTGGAGCATGTGACTTATGAGGAGAGGCTGAGAGAACTGGG